AGCAGCCACACTGAAGGACCTGCCTAATCTGCACTGTTTAAGGTAACATCTGCCTACAGACTACAGAGGAACCTAAAAGTGGCACTTACTTTTGACCCACATAATTTCACTTCCCTCTTTATCTTGCTATTTTTTCCAGTGTCTACAGCAACATGATTTCTGATGAAGGGGCAGAGAGTTTAGCAGCTGTTCTCCCACACATGGCTTCCCTCACTGACCTTGAGTAAGACTTGACATTTTTATTTGGAACTGATGGCTAAGAATTAGGTTCTTCTACATTTCAGTGTAAAAGGTTCTGTTTTAGCAAAGGTCTTCCCGTTTAAAAGACTGACAAATTCCACTTACACAGGCAGGGACTGGGTGTAGATGGGAACTGACCACAAGACAACTCATTTGTTTGACAGTTATTTTTCTACATAGTTTCACTTAGTTAATTTTTTATATACTTGTAAGGTCCTTTTTCGCTTGCTGTTTAGTTATGTTTTCACTCACAGTAACGCACCAGTGACTACTTAAAATTAGGAAGGGGTCTTTAGCTTGTGATGAAAGTGAGTCAGTCTAGCAAGCTTGGATATCAAGGTGCTTCCATAGACTGTACAGATGTATTGCAGTGAGACAAGTTACGAGTTTAGTGCCAAGTAATGTAAAAATTACACTACAGCACGACAAACATGACTGAGAGGTGCGGTTCAGTCATTTGAATTAGCTGACATGATGACAGCAGACAGGAGACCCAGGTTTGTAGGTGATGCTCACCTGTCAGTCAAAGTGGCCACACCCCTAAGAATGTATCACTTTAATATGCTGTGAAAGCTTACTTGCCCCTTCCTGACTTCTTAGTTTTTTGCATATTTATCACACTTAAATAAATATGCAAAAACATATTTTGGTATAAGTCAGAGATAATCTGAGTAAATACAAAATGCAGTTTTTAAATGACAAAGCTGAGTTCAGTTTTACTACCCACGTTTAGGGCTGATTACTGGCAGACTTGTTGAATTACAAAGAACCTGCTTCTTATCCACAGCTTTAGAAAACTTAGAACAGTGATGAAACTTTCCAAGACCACATGAGTGACTCATCCAAGAGGTCACAAGAACGACATCTAAAGTGCAGGCCTCGCTTCCCTCAGTTAAGGGCAGAGTTCATAATTCATCAAAAAGGAAGACAGTGGGCACAAAAAGCATCCATTGTAGAGCTCTGACTAAAGGCAGATGGATTTGGCTCGCGTTTGCCAAAACACATCTTGATGAGGTTTTGGGAAAATATTCTGCGGACTGACGAGAGAAAAGCTGAACTTTCTGGAAGGTTTGAGTCCCATTACATCTGCGTAAAACTGACAGAGCATTTTATTAAAAGAACATGACATGGTGGTGGTAGTGTGATGGTCTACTTTGCTGCTTCAGCACCTGGAAGACTTGCTGCAATTGATGGAACCATGAATTCGGCTCTCTACCAGATAGACCTGAGGGAGAATGTCCAACCAGGAGTTCCTGGCCCTAAGTACATGCATCCTTTGGTTTTGCAGTAGGACGATGATCTGAAATACACTAGAAAGTACACCTTCGAATAGCACAAAAGAATAAAAAATAAAGATTTATTAGCAGCCTAGCCAGAAGAGAGAGGGGGCAGCGACAGTCACTGTTCTTTCCTATCACTCGTGACTTACTCCAGAGGGGCAGAGCTCTCAACTCTGCCCACTGCTTTGCTGTGTCTCACCTGCACTATTGTCTCACCGTGAGCAGCGATAGGGCGGCGTCCTGCTGCCCTCCTCCGGTGTCCACTCCCTTGTCTCTGTCCTGCCAGGCCCTCTTGTTGGCCCTCTTATTTCCTCTGTGACCTCCCAGGTGTGTCCAATTAGTGATCAGGAGGGGGCTCAAGTCTCTCCAGGACAAGTGAACAAATACATACAATAAAAACATGCAATAAAACCATAAGAATAAAACACTGTACATTGTTAAAAGATTGAAACTAATAAAACACAGCAACACATGCAAAATAAAAAACACTCAGTTCAACTTGTCCATTCCACCTCGTGACATATGAATAGTTTTTTCCCTAATAAATCACTTAAAAACTGCATTTTATATTTATGTGGTATATCTTTGTCTTTGCCCGGTACGGTGGTCCCAAAGCTGTTTTTATACCAGGTTGCAAAAATGTTTATTTCTGCGATGAAGCATTTTCAAACAGAAGTTCACTGGGAATTCAAGTGAAAAGCAAAGAGCACTTCCACATTTTTTGCTACTTCTGCTTTGGTTTTATTTTTAGCGTTCATGTATTCATATTATAGACAAAACATATTGCGATGTCTGGATTTGCGCTATAGGCTTTTTTCTGTTAAAACACATCTAACTTCTGTCTCACTTTTCTTTGACAGCGTAAAGTTTAACAAACTAACAGATGTCGGCGCACAGAGCTTAGGAGCCAGCCTAAGAAACTGTACAAAAGTTAAGACTTTAAGGTGAGGAGCTCTTTCATGTTACTTCATCACACATCTTTATTTTTTCCAATTTTTTATGTTTGTTTTTTTTCTTACCCTGTTTCATCTCATTTCATCTTCCCAGGATGTGGAACCAGTGCATCCCCTTCGGTGTGCTTGAGAGACTCATTCAGCAGGACAGCCGCATCCTATTGCACTAAAATGCAATACCTCTCTACAAGCATATGAACTGTTTTCATCATGCATCTCATGATGTATACTTAAATTGCACAATACATTTTCAAACGTGTGTGCTTGCAAGGAAAGGACACAAACAAATGATTATGTGAAACTTGAGATTGCACTACAACTGACGTACTTGCTGCTTGTTCTCTGCTGCTGGTTCTTCATAACATTCCCCTATTTGCATTACAAAGTGTGTGTGTGTGTGTGTGTGTGTGTGTGTGTGTGTGTGTGTGTGTGTGTGTGTGTGTGTGTACTGTTTTTCAGTACTTTCAACTTCAAAAAGCACAATTGCACTTTTATAGTCACCCTTTGTTATTAAAGGTGGCTGTTTTTTTTTCTTTTTCTTTATAGTTGTCTGTCCAAGTTTTTGCCATTATCTGCCTTTATT